ATTAATTTTAACGTAAAAATAGCATTAGTTATGACGTTTACGAGCACGCTGTACAACTGTATTGATTACTGTAAGTTAAAATTTAATAGTTAAAAATAACTGCACATGTACGAGTACTGTACTTACGTGTTGTAAAGGGCGTCGCAGAGACAATAACGGGCGGAAGTGTCAGGTGTTTGATGGTGAGGAAGGTTCGGAAGATATCGGCAGAAGATGATTGAAAGAATTTTTATCAAAATTTGTGGTTCTTTGCAAGTTACAGCGGACTTTACTGAATGCAGGCGAAATTTGATGGGTATGCGTGCTTTTGCACACTGCCGTAGCAACTGCATCCTGTTACAGCGCTGGCCTTTCTACGAAGTACGGTAATTGCACTACGCCGTTTAATTAATCGCTGGAATACTTATTTGCGCATGTCTTCCCTGTCCAGTGTCTTTTCTCTGACCAGAGAGCATTTAATTACTGACCGTTACGGTCATAAAAACAGGAATGCGGTAATAAAATGCGGATACAGGTGTGTTTGTTCAGCTGTGTTGTGGTTCTCCCTGATCCCTAATAAAATGTTTTATTTACATAAGAAAACTTTACGACTTTGACTTCTCCCTGCTTCCTTTGACCACCGGTCATTATATGGAAGTTATAAGAACATGAGCTTCTACTCTAACTTCCAGGCTCGCGTGGCGGCGGTGACATCGGTTGCTGTCAGTGTCGGGCATAATCTGGAAATCAGTTGGTGCAACAAAGAAGCCGATTCCAAGTAGGCAGAGGAAGCTAGCTTCTCGGTGCGTCTGATTCCCAAACCACCGAAACGAACAGGAAGGGAGGCCTGGAGCCATGTTGGGTGGTCCATCCTGACATTAGTAATTGTTTCGACCGCCTCGCGAAATACCTGGTCGAGTCTGTATAGCTCTTGTGGAAACATCAATGCGAGGGAGGTGCGCAATATGTGAACAATTTTCGGCACTCCTAGGCAATTCTTCAACAGGAATAGCGCTTGGTGTTTTGGAATTAGCTGCAAGCGGCCGCACATAACACCAAGCTGGATGATTTTCTCATTGATCATCGGGATTACGGCGGCTGGTAGAAGAGGGGTTCCGACACTACGATCTTAAAAATGAGTATAAAAACATAAATTGAAAAATTCTTGTAATAAAATTCCTTTAAAATTAATCGCAGTACCGTGAAACAGAATACGTTCGTCCGCGCTCGAGTTCAAAACCAAATTTATAACTGCAAGCGCTTGGCTAATTTTTGCTTGAGCGTTATAAGACCACAGATACCTGCTCCATGGAGTTTTGCTAATAAATTTTTTTTAGGATCTTCAGCAAAAAAAAAGAAATATAAGTCAGCCATAGAAATTTCAGTTGTAAGTTACTGTGAAGTATATTAAGTATTTTAATATACTTGGCAGCGTATTAAGTTTTTTATTTCCTAAAAATTCTTTGTTAGGAAATAAAATATTTAACGGAATGGAATAAAAAAAACAATTTTATTCCGTTCCGAGTAAATTTTGTCATTCCCGTATTTCGAAAATTGCATTCCGTCCCTTGTCCAGTCCACTTCCGGTTGCTGCCTACACGTACTGTTTTTCATGCTGTTACGTAAACGCTATTAATGGGTGCTTTGCACCAACTGGTCGATTTCGGCCTTAACTTTTACTCTCCAATGCCGCCAATGGAGCATGCTGCTGCCACTGATCACGCCTCTTTGCAGAGCCCCTCTTAAGCGTCTTCGAGGGCGAACACGGCACGGAGCTGACCTCGCCATCGACGTCGGTTAGAGTCGACGATCCGCCAGCCCCCACCGGACGGAATCTATTTGGACATGCAGCTGTTATGCCGCCACATGAAGTGGTTGCCAGTGGCAACCATTTTATATGGCGCTATAACTGCCGCATCGTTTATGGTACCTCGGAGCCGACATTCGGGTCTCTCTCATGCGATCAGCGGCAAATACCGCTCTCGTGATAGGACAAGGCTGTGGGCGTGTGAGCGGTGTCGGAGGCCAAGATCTACAACTTCACTGTGTTACGTTATAGACGCCATTAACGTTATCTGCGGCCCCTGGCACTGTAAGTAGCTAAGTCTAACGTAGAAATCCCGACGTGGATTTTAAGACTTTATTTATGAAAGACAATTCAAGTGACTGCTAGATGACTTCCAGTGGACTAAACCAGAGTTGACCATCTAGCACTAGCAAGCTTCGCGCTTATATAGCCACATTCGGGTAAACATCGGCATTAAGAAACTTCTGGAAGCTTTCAAAGCCTTAAATCACTCAATAAGACCATTAAAACGACATAACAAGAGATACAGAGAAGACTGGAAATCTGTCGATTCTGGTCTTAATCGTCTTATCCACTTATGCCCAAATATAGAACTAATTGATATTCTCTCAGTTCTCTTTGTGGCTAAAGATCTTGTTTACACCAGGCTCCAGGCTGTACCTTAAAATAGCCCACATGGGGCTGTGCGGCTGGTCACAACTGGCGTATTCGATACATATGAGGCGTGGCCCGCACTGAAGTCGTACATCTATCCCGTTGTCTTTCTTCTATGGAGCATATTCGATACTTTTATGTTCTGTGGTTCAAATCGGACGAGCCCCGAATTCCGTTTGGAAGTGGCCGTCTCACAGGAAAACGGGCTCCGAACTGAAAGGATGATGCGATCCTGGCTGCACCTGGATTAGACCGTCTTTAAGGCGGATCAGCGGATCGTTAACGTTTCACCTAATCTGAAGATGCTGCAGTCCGAAAGGTGTGGTAAGCCGGAAACTCCACCGAGCAAGTCAACAGTATCGGCAGCTCGGTCACCCATCTACCTAACGAGATCTATGCATTGGACAGTATTGGTAGCTCGGTCACCCATCTACCTAACGGGATCTATGCACTGGACAGTAGTGGTAGCTCGGTCACCCATCTACCTAACGGGATCTATGCACTGGACAGTAGTGGTAGCTCGGTCACTAGATCACTTAACGGAGTTCGTTTACTGGACAGTAGTGGTAGCTCGGTCACGCGTTCACCTAACGGGCTCTGTGCACTGGACAGTATTGGTAGCTCGATCATCCATCTACCTAACGGGATCTATGCACTGGACAGTATTGGTAGCTCGGTCACCCATCTACCTAACGGGATCTATGCACTGGACAGTAGTGGTAGCTCGGTCACTAGATCACTTAACGGAGTTCGTTTACTGGACAGTAGTGGTAGCTCGGTCACGCGTTCACCTAACGGGATCTATGCACTGGACAGTAGTGGTAGTTCGGTCACTAGATCACATAACGGAGTTCGTGGACTGGACAGTGGTGGTAGCTCGGTCACGTACTCACCTAGCGATTTTTCGACGCACTCAATCACTAGGTGAGTGACTGACCGAGCTCAACCTGTCCAGTAAGAAATATCGCTAGGTAAGGAGAAAAATCGCTAGGTGAGGATGTGACCCTGCTACAACTACTGTCCAGTGCACAGAGCCCGTTACGTGAGCAAGAGCAAAGCCCGCTCGATGACTCACTCACCTAGAAATTCCGCTCAGTGGGCAGTAATGGTGTTTCGGTCACTCACTTGTCTAGTGATTTTTCTTACTGGTCAGTGGTGGTAGCTCGGTCACCCACTCATCTAGAGATTCCGCTCAGTGGTCGGTGATAGTGTTTCGGTCACTCACTCGTCCAGTGATATTTCGTATTGATTTTATATTTGATATTTTTACATTTTATATCGGTTGATTTTAAACGTGTTTCGAGCTTGGCAACACCGGCAACAATGTTTGAATAACGCGAGTGTTTGAATAAGTACAATAATTTATTTATTTTTCGGTTTAATTAGTGTGATAATTATGTCAATTGGTATTTTTTGTATTGTATCTAGGCAAATATTTCTAAGTTTCAAGGTGACCTTTAAGATGGGTTGGATCAATCTGGTCTTGATGCCGGCTTGATACCGGCTCGATAATTTCATAAAAAAACACATGCCGGCCACTTCTGAACTATCCCGGATCTAATGGCGTTGTCCGTTTTTCCAGAAGTTTTATGGTTATAGAGATCTCAAAACTATGGGGCGCCGCGCGTAGTATAGATCTTGTACTTAATATATATGTATATATATACACATATATATATATACACCATAATCCATTCTTACTGACAAAAACCGAAAGAACAACCAGAATCGTCCCTATTTGAAAGTTTATTTATTTATACTGTACGGTTAAGATCTGCCGAAAACGAGATCCATTCTGATTTCTGGATGTTGCGTTAATTTACTGCCGGTTTGAATATTTTAACAGGCCTAGGGTTTCAGCCTGTAACCACAAGCCCTGGGTCAAATGGGCATTTGTTTCCTCTTGGGTTTTCAAGGGTTTACCGGATCTTCAGCACAGATCTGTGGTAGCTGCTTAACCCGCGTTGGAATACACGTTGGGGTTCTGTGTAGTATCGCCAAATTCAACAAGTTGAATGTTGATCCTTCCTGTCGTTGTACCCGTCATCCGTCGGTCATGCGCTACTGCAAGAACAGTGCTTATATTTTTTTAAGAGACTCATATAATATTAATCTCATAATTATGCTAAACTATGCACAGATTAAAAATAAACCATTCATTTCATGCTGCTTCTCAACAGTTCCCAAGACACAAGCAGCATTACCACGCTGAATTTCAATACTAAAACGTTGTAGCAGAAAATACATGTACGAGTACTTTACACGAATATAACCAGTCTGCTCACTGATGCGTCTGCTCACTGATGCGTCTGCTCACTGCTCAATTAATAAAATCCGTGGTGAGAGAACCGCAGCTTCCCATGGTGTTTGACGCGACGGGCTGGAAGATGTACCGGTCAGCCAGCTCAGCATATTTGCCGCACTTCCGGTGCTCGGCCGCTTCTGATGCAGCACCAGCATGATCGGATGTCTGGCCAATGTAAGTGCTTACAATATTGCTTATATAGTAAGTGCGCACTACTCGGTACATACAATCATAGTATATCTATATACTGCCCGACTATATACGTGGCTGCCTACGTGGCAGCCAACGTGGCTGTGGTGATGCGTTGATTCCAGCCTCTTCGCTTCAATGTTATAAAACGAACGTTATAGGCCATAGTTGTGTGAAGTTGTGAACGGTGACCACATGCGCAATACACAAACATTTTATTACTAGTACTACGCTACTGTGGTGGCTCGCGCATCTTAGACCACAGAGTGTGTGTACAGGAGAACGGCCAGTGATGAATATACACACGCTTAACCACGCGTTGAACATGGCCCATTTTTGCATTGTAAATTTGTAAACCATCAAGTGTTTGATGAATATCTAAATTGCAGTCGTGTGCAAAATTTGTATGCCGTTTGACGTTTATGCAGTTATATCTTTCTGAATATTAAGAAAAATCAGTGCTCTTATCTTATCAGTGTTGATACCTCGAAGTCCGAGTTTTTGTGTTGGGCCTTGCTGCCTGGATATCGGCGCCAGGGGGTCCACAAAGAAACTCGGATTATGATAGTCCCTATTTGTGTTTTGGAATTGGTACACCACCAAAGGTAAGCAATCATAAAAATGGTAACCTGAAATGGCCGTAATAAATGATTTTAACATGTTTGCGCGACATTTTGGCATAGTCCTCTCCCTATTCTAAACAACTCATGTTATTTTACTTATATGCCGCGGGAGAAACGCTGAGAACCCCAGGATACGAAAGATGGTGAAATAATCTCCCGTAGAACTCCGTGAAAATTTTCTACACTACTAGTTAACTAGTAGTTACTACAACTTCAAGTAACGGGTTCAATTTGCGTGTACCACTGTTAAAGCAAAGGGCTGGGCTGAATGGCAATCAGCACATCAGTTGCCAGTTATCGCGCGAAGCGAAGAAGCGATTTCACAGCAAAAACTGGAACAAAATCCTTAAAAATGCAAAAAATTCCCTTCCCCAAAATTCGCCATTGATGCTATCATATTGCTGAGTGCATTTCACCAATTGTTAATATAAATTATGCTTCCTGAAGTTCGTTAAAAGAAGTTTGTAACAATTTACTAGCATTAGAATCGCAAGCACTGGCCGCAGTATCAAAATCATTCAGCTTCGCGCAAAAAATCACCTTTTTTCTAAACTTAATAATATTTGAATCAGCATTGCTTCTTGCAATACAACTTTCGCTGAACGAAATTTTGGACTATTTATACGTACGGTTTTCAGTGGTAGCTCTAGAAACTTGTGCGGGGAAAACGCTCGCTAGCTTTGCGCGAAAAAAATTCGGCAATAATTTGAGTAGAATGTTTGACACAAGACTAGCTTAGCAAAAAAAATTTGAAATTCTGCACTTTTTAAGTACTTTTAAAATTGTATAAGAAGTTCCAAAGTTAGTTCCTTTGGTTTCTGTACCAGTACCGCCAGAGCAATTTAGGAAAATAGCCCGGTTCATGGCGTCAGAAATGGGATAGAAACACAAAAACGTTCGTTTTCGCGCACCACAAATAACTTTTTTGTAATACTTTATGTCATTCTAAAGCTAAATGATTTGTACATCTATACTTCGAATGCTGCCTTATATGGGCTCCCCTTATATTACTCTCCCTTATCTGGGCTCCCGGCTAGTTAGCAATACCAGTCAAGTTAAATTTACCGGATTTATAGCAGAACCATTTTCTACTTCTTTCAACCGGGTTTACAAGTGAGCACACCAAAGAATTCCGAAATTTCACATCCAAATTATATTTATATAGTATATTTTTTATATCATCTATATAATCATATTTTTCATTAATTTCAACCGGATTTGCCAAACTGAAAAACAACAAACTGAAAAATGCCGAAATTTCATATCCGATTAGTTTTTCAGGGGGTTCTTAGTCCATTTAAGCGGGCGACGTTTCTTAAATAAATTTTAGAAAGATTTTGAATCTGTCGTTGATGCAACCTGATTACCTGAGCACTTTGAAACAAACTAAATGCTACAAAATAAGTATTTTAAATAAATCAAAATTTTCAGTCAGGCATAACACTGATAACAACTGCGAAAGGGTGAGTAATAACGTAACCGCCCATGTAGAGGGTTGCTCATATTGCTCGGGAGCCCAGATAAGGGAGAGTAATATAAGGGGAGCCCATATAAGGCAGCATTCGAAGTATACGTTGTTCTGAAAAGCTTACCGTTTGCGCCCGCAACATCCGGTTGCCGTGATATGGCAAACTAAAATGGGCGAAAAGTTTAATTGCATTGTTGTGTACAAAAAGTATAGTATTACCCGATCTTCTTGAAACTTTGCTTTAAGAGACACCTTGCCTTAAAGTCGAAAGTGAACTAATTTTAGGTTCACAGCACTTCCCATAATTTTAAATTAAATTTTTAATTTTTCGAAGTTCATTTTTAAATCGGAGTAAATTGCTATGGATCTGACGTCCGTTCACTTTTGAGTTTAGGGCCAGGTATCTTTTAAAGCAATGTTTCCAGAATATTGGATAATAGCTAGACTTTTGATATGAGTACGCAGGAAATTCATTTAAACTTTTCGCCCATTTTAGTTCGCCAACCGCGCCAACCGGATGTCGGGCGCGCACACGGTTTTCAGAACAACGTGTACAAATCATTTAGCTTTAGAATGACGTAAAGTATTACAAAAAAGTTTTTGCGGAGTGCGCGAAAACAAAAAGTTTTAGCCGTATGTACCAGGCCATGTTCCGTAAATCGAACATAGAAATCAAAATTAGACAATCCCCATCACTCGCGGGATACATGACTGTGACTCACTCAAAGCCGTCGTTCGATTATTTTGCTCTCGTGTCCGTTTTCGCTGAGCGTGTCGCAGCCTGTTGCTGTATATTGATCATGGCTAATATTTAAAATTCGCTTTATGTTTCTGTTTCTGTCTTTCTTAGCAAACGTCTTCCTCAGACATTTTCGAATGTAGAACTTGGCCGTGACTGTTCTTCCTTGGGGTATGCGCGTCACGCTTATTACGCCTCTGGCGTTGAAGAAAACGGAGAACATAGTCTTTGCACAATAGCGATCTCGGCGAACCTGCACGGGTCCCTTCTTCCCTTTCTCAGTCCATTCCCTTGACTGTCGTTTTGTTAGCGGGTCCCAGTGATACACCCAGGTCTCATCACCAGTAAAGATGTTTGATAAATAACGTTGAGGATAATTCTTGCAGCGCTTCAGTAGATCTCTGCAGAATTGAACACGCGCTCGTTTCTGGTGTTCCGTGAGCGTATGAGGCACGAACTTCGACACAATTTTCCTTAAATTCAGATGGTCATGCAGTATGGTCGTCACAGCATGCGCTTCAATCCCAAGATCATACATTATCTGCGAAACTGTTACTCGAGGATTTTGGTCAACGATTTCACGAACGCGAGCAATATTTGCGGAACTGACCGCTGTCCGTGGTCTTCCCATTCGTCGTCCATCTTCCACAATTTGCTGTCCACTACGGAATTTTCTATACCAATATCTGACTGTCTGAATAGTAGGGCAAGAGTCTCCAAAAGCTTTCCTAATTTTTTCGAAACAATTTGTATAGTCGTTACCGAGATGAAATTCAGAAAAGATAACTGCGCGAATATGATTTTTGGTAAAAGGCATGTTGGATCAATGCGTGTGCGAAGATCTGCCAAACTAACTGGCAAAAATAAATGCTATAAATAGCCAGTGGTTAGCTGCCAAGCCAGTTGTGAATGAGTCATTGCATCACTGACCATTCTTGCTGCTGACGTATCAAAATCAGTATTAACGGTTTCTGGTTAAAAGATATAAAACAGGGAAAAAAAACTTTTGGTATGCCCTTTGTACAAGGCTCCAGGTGCTTACTGTATAGTGTGATAAGAATTGGTAACCCCGCGTTGGCCATTATCACTCTCGCATACCTTTGCTATTCACAAATACGACTCACTTTTTCTCGCACATGAAAAATTAAGAAACAGCTTAATTATTTTAAAATATTTTTAAGTTTGGTTGAAATATAATTAAATTTTAATTACGATGAAAAAAATTAAAATCTGTCAGTTTTGAGTTTGCTTATTATAATTAAAATTAGTCATTTTTAGAATATGATAAGCTTAATCAAAAAAGAAACAAAATTTCTGTTATTAGCCAAAAAACACATAAACACTTGTCATTGCAGAAAGCCTAGTTTTTGCAACCTAATGAGAATGCTGTATAAGTGCGTTCCAATGTTAATCCTATCCCTGGCTGGATATTTGACACACCGAGGTTATTACTCACCGTACATTATTTTATCGGAATCGCTGGTGCATCCACTAAATGGCACGACTGACTTCGCTCAAAATCTGGAGACCGCAATTGAAAATGCAAGGTAATGTACGTACTGGTAGAATTTTTAATAATTATTTGCTGTGACGGACGGCTAATACAACTGGATTTATTGCTACATAGAACACGTGATTTTTATTTATATTTGCTTAGCGACATAACAGTCAGTCATTCCCCTACGGCCAGTATTGCACAATCAAGAATTAAAAAAACAACCAAAATCACTATTATCAACAACTTTATTCTTTCCCGGTAAAGTTCCTAAAACCGCGGCTGCATTGCCTTTAATAATTGCCAGGCTAATGCGCTGCTTTAAAAAAGCCGTAGATCTACCTTCTCCGGTTCTCTCTTTGATTTTACGACCAAAGAAGCTAACCATTTCTCTGGCTGCTTCACCGAGCACTCCGAGTGTTTCCACCGCAAAAGGGTAAAACCAGAACTGGTCGCCCAGATCCCGATAATTGTATCGTTTCCGGCATTCTGCTTGGTGTGCCGCTGCGCCCGCTGCCTTTGCAGACCGTTTAAGGTACGACTGTGCTAACGTGTCCGCAAAGGTGGCGTCCCATACCAACTGCTTTCCCTCTCGAACCGGCACCAAAGTCAATCCGTCCGGGCGTTTACCGTTGTCTCTGGATAAACCCCTGGGTTCTAACTCGCAAGGAATGCCCGCTGCTACGCATCCCCGCTCCAGTATGCCATTCAATTCCGTGTGTTGGCTCCATCTACCTTTGCTGTACAGGCAAGACAATCCGTGATGACCATCAGAAGTAACCTGGAAACCACATCCCGCGCATTCATGCGGTGCCACTATTGGTAAACCAAATCGTAATCCAACGGCAACTCTGACTTGTTCGTCATTCACAATCGTTCCCAAACATGCTGCCGGCAGCGCGTGCAACCATGCCGCAGACTCCTCAGACGCTGCTAAAAGTGCTGCCATGTCCTGCGGTTTACCGCTAGCCATCGTTTGTAGTCGTAACTGTGAGTAGGTACGTTCCACAACAGGCCAGTCCCAGCTTTTCTGATATTTCCTCACGTGTTCAAGGGGCACTTCGCACTGGTATGTCTTCACCCACTTCTCTATAGCCTGATCCAGACCCGATATCCGGTTGACCTGGAGCATTTCCTGGCATACTGGGAAAACCGAGGACGCCGAAGCGATAAACGCCGATAAAGCTAGCTCCTCTGCTCGCCGTATTCCTAGGCCGCCCCGGCCGACCGGAAGAGTCATTTGCATCCAATTCTTGTCATCGATGTGGGCGTTGACAACGGAGGTGACCGCACCACGCATTAAACTGTCGAATTCCCGCAGAACCTCGGGATGTTCGTAGCACTGGCTGCTGCGTAGGGTATGCATTAATTTCGGCACGCTTAGACAATTTCGAAGAAGGTAAAGAGCTTGTTGGGATGGCAGCAGTTTTAGTCTTTCCACTAGTCTGTCTATCTGTTGAACTTTGTTTCTCAAGAAGGACGGCACTGCGACTATGCTAACGGGTGCTCCCAATAGCGTAAGGTTTTCGGTCTCTAAAATCTCAAAGTCTGGCCATTCCCAAACCAAACGGTGCTTGGCGGCCGCTCGCTCTTCTTCATTTCCGCCGAAGATGAAGGCTTCACATTTGCTGTAGTTTAACTCGAGACCAATCTTTTTCCCTTCTTCTTCTATTGTGCGAATATCTGCCATCACTTCTTCAATCAACCCCGCCAGAGTTACGTCGTCCAAAAAGCCGGCTTTAAACTGGCTCCTTAGCTTACATAGCAGAGGAAATGTCCCCAGGCAGTATGCCAACGGTCCTCCTGGATCGCCCTGCTGTACGCCGCTTTCCGAAGCAATCACGGCTTCCTGGCAGGCCAGATGGGATACGGGTGCGTACGACTGGTCGAAGTAGGGATGGTACACTGGAATGACCGACTGCACTGCTTCCAAAACTGCACTTCTACTTATCATATTGAAGGCATTTTTGAAGTCCAGTTTGACCATCACGCGCGTTCCTCCGTGATCAGTTTCCAGGTAGCTTCGCGCTGCATGTACAATCGCTTCCGCACCTCCCTTCGTGCCATATCCCAGTTGAATGGGGCTGAGCAGTGCACCTAATTGTTCTTGACACCTTGCGCTGACAATTTTTGAAGCTATTCTGCGTAACACCTCACCAACTGCAATGGGTCGGATTCCTCCCGTGGGTTTTTTTAGGGGGATTAATTTAGCTCCAAACAGAAAGGGCCGCACTTCGGTTGGCACTTTACCGGTGAGTACAATGTCTATTAACCGCGTCATAGCCAAGCACAACTCACTTTCCACATCATCCCGGCGGTTCAGCATGTCCTTTAAGTGCTGAGGCTTCATTCCCGTGAAACCTCCAGCAGAGCCAGCGGGCATACTGAAAACGGCGTCCATTAACTCGGCTGGAGAGACACGTGGTATTGCTGTCGGCGCTGCAGCAAGAGTGGGAAAAATTTCGTCGGTCGGCCGCTTGGGATGCTTATCCTTTAGTGCAGCTACTGTTTCGTCATTCATTTGCGCTATGGTTTCTTCCGAGGAAAGGAATTTCACAATGTCTTTCGTCCGCCCATTTTGAAACATCTGTGCCACACGCTTACGAAGGTGCTCTGTGTCGTCAATTCTTTTCCCCTTGTTTCTCTGTGGTGCTTTGTGGGTTGAACGGCTGTTGGCGTGGGTGGCGTCTGTGATGCCCTCTTCCATCGCCTGCAGATTCTTTTTGACAATAGTGCTCAAAGAATCCTTCCGAAGAGCTTTTGAGTCGGGCAGTGCCAATGCGAACCTAGAAAAATTGAGCACTGCGCACCAGGACGCCACATCATTCTGCTGCACACAGCGACGGACTCTTTTCAGAAATTCCGCCGTACAAAGGTGCTTGGCTGCTTTGGGGATCCTAGCGGATATCTTCACACGCGGCCCCGTTAATAGTTCCTGAAGGCCGGTCACGGGAGGGGGTTGTTTGGGAGCGGTCTGCGCATCTTGACTGGCGACGTGGTCCTTGGAAGCTTTGAAACGCATATCCAACGACCCATCCTTCTTTCGTCGTAGTTGAGGCGGGCCGCTTGTTGCCATGAGAATAAAATGAAAGAAAAAGCGGCAGTCTGTGTCCAGGAATCAAAGAAAAAGAAACAGCAGGAGCGAGAGGAGAAACTTACTGGGTTTCCGATGGTGGTCGCTGGATGTCTGCGGGACAGCTGCCACCACACAGCCTCTGGCGAACCCCAGTCTACCAGACTCAGGTCCCGCACTCAGGTCCCGCAGCCACCCTCCGTACTGAATGGCGGGAAATTTGCCATTCAGGGGCAATATCAATAAGCCCAAATCAGATCAAAATAAATAATCCAAATCAGATCAAAATAATCAGATCAAAATAATAAATAAGCCCAAATCCCAAATAAGCCCAAATAAATATGAATAGTGTTCAGTTTTTCGCAAACAGCAAACTCTGCTACATAGTATAATGTATGACTAAACGGTCGCTATTAATGTAGACTAATAATGTCACTGATCATTATTTAGTTTGGCGGATTTCCTGTTTAGTCAGTTCATTCAGAAGCATTCATGGAATTTTAGCCGATACCTGCTCATACAAAGCTGTAGCGTATGGTTCGCTCTTTTAGAAATGCTCTTCCGACCAATCCCGACGACACCGCCCCACAAGTACTGGAGATCGGCAGCATTCTCAAAATTCTGACATATCCGGAGGCTTCTGAAGATAGGCAAGATCCCTATTCCTGGCTGAAAAACCTCGTGTCGGTCGCTGCGGGAGCATGTATAGGAGCATGTATAAGGGCTATACCCGGCCCATTAATAAATGCTGCTCTTATACTCAAACTTGCTGTAGTGACTGTGGTGGTTTGCGTAGTTTACTTGCTGTACTACCGCTGCACACAGATTTTTACGCTGAAAGGAAATATCGTAAATATACGATGTGAATGCGCAGAGCCGAATGTTCTCTGTAGTCTGTAAGGCTCTGTATAAGCCGTGTAATCACATAGCCGTGGCCCGTATGGGCTCTGTATAAGCACCCCTTGCTTTCACTTCTGAATCAAGAAAAGACGAATATAAACTGGATAATTCGAGTATTATAAGAGACAGCTGCGCAGAAAGTAATCTAATATCTGATAGTGTAGTTTCCATACTGACGTTTTTCTGTGAATTATGATTGTGGCCATACCTCACATGCTGGGTGTTGTTGCACCTGTTAGAGATGTAGCAATACGTATTTAATAAACTGTACAATAAACTAACTTTGCTTTCATTTCTGATTAAGCTTATCATAATCTAAAAAATGACTAATTTTAATTATAATAAGCAAAATCAAAACTGTATGATTTTAACTTTTTTCGTCATATTAAAATTTCAATGGTAATGAAACAGAACTTAAAAATATGTACAATAATTTAGCTGTTTCTTAATTTTTAATATGCGAGAAAAAGTGACTCGTATTTGTGAATAGCAAAGGTAAGATTTTCAGATTTGCGTTAGAAGTATAAAATCAACCACAGCCATACATCTGTACATACACCATTACGAATGGCGTCGAAAAAATATTCTTGGCGGAACATTTGGTGCCTGGCATCATCATGAAAACTTCGGGTGGAGCTCGCACTTCGCGTAACAGATTGTATACATTTGAACCTGAATGGATTACATACATCGTTAATTTTAATTCGTTATTCGAACACATCTGCATCGTATTTCATGCATAACACCACTACAAAGTCGGCACGGTGAAAAATAAAAAAATATAAATGAAAAATAAAAAAAAAACATTATGGAACGAAAAATTGTTGAAACTTCGAAAACTACTTTCTAAGATGTTACTTCCGAACATTTGTTCACATGTTCTTGTACTTCCTTTAGCTAAATTAATTCTGCTCGAGCAAAACTATTAAGTTTTAATTAAGCTTAAGCATAATTTAAAATTACCCGTTTTAACGAAGCTCAAGTAAAATTTAAATCCGCTAACTTTAGTTATGCTCCAGCATAATCAAAATTGCCGTAGTTGTAATAAATAAGCATAATGTGCAATTCCCAGCATAATTACTAGATAATATTAACGAGGGAGATACCCGAACACGTCCGCGTCAGATCAGCATACACTTGGTAACATTAGAATCCTTAGTACTTCAGCTATTTTCTTCAAAAATCAAAACACCCCCAGATAAAGAACTCGAGTTTAGGGATCTCTGAGAAGCCAACACAGATATGCTGGCTGACTTCCATCGAAACGTCAGCTGGCGCCATACGCAATGTCCAGCCTAGATACGCCATGCGTTACGCATAATCTGGCTGCAATCTGTTGATTCTGTATTGGTTTTGTTGACAGCTGTCTCACCTATTTTGCCCTGTCGCGCGCACCAGCATCCGCGGTTGCATTGATCTCTATGCAGCCAGTCGATGCTGCTGCGCTTAATGAGTGCGATAGCTATCGATAAAGCGCTATTTAACTTCTCACTGAAAGACGATTGCGCAATCTCGCATCCGTACAGAGGCGCCGTATAGCTCTGTATGGCGTCTGCTGACGCTTCGATGGAAATCAGCCATCATATCTGTGTTGGTTCTCAGGGATCCCTAAACTCGAGTTCTTTATCTGGGGGCGTTTTGATTATCGAAGAAAATAGCTGAATTTCTAAGGATTCTAATGTTACCAAGTGTACGATGATCTGACGCGGACGTGTTCGGGAATCTCCCTCGTAAATATCCTACATGGTCATCCGACAACCTTCATCACGATTTCATTTAGGTAACAATTTGTATATTTGGGTCGGCACCCAAATAACAAACAGTAGAAATACTATCCAATCAAAAATCGATCTACTACGATTCTTTTACCAGAGTCTTAATATGTCGAAATTTCAGTTTCGATTTTATTACTACTTCTATGCTAACAACAAAAACACGCTGAAGCAAAACGCGAAGGAGCGTCGTTCTCCGTCAATTGTGCACCCAGTTCGCGTAAAAATGCCATGCAAAGTGGGCCAACCACACCAAGACTCTTAAAACCAAGAGAAAGAAAATAATTCGTTTGCTAAAATACATATTCGCATGTCCGGCGCTTTTCAACTTCCGGTTTCTGGCCGTTTCTCTTGATTTTCTGCTGCTAATGACATTGTCATTTAAACAGAGCAGCGAATGTCACGTGACTCACTTCCCAAGGGGGAAGGAAATAGAGCGCGTACAAGGTACCAATTTAAAACGTGTACATGCATATAAAGTTTTTGCTTTTGCACAGTGGAAAAAAGCTTTTTGAATAATTGTTTTAAGAAAATGTGTAACCAAATTTTTTGTATGCATTGGCGTAAAAACCGTTTCTGCCCGGAATAACCGGTCGGGCAGATATGGGCAGATATAAAATTCCCAAAACACTAAATGAAATGGCCCAAATTGTTACTCGATTTTAACTCAACTGTGCAGAATACAAGTATCAGCACACGCAAAATTCGCAAAGTCGCAAATTACCTCTTAAATGAACCAATATTAAAACATGGGAATTAATTACTATTGACGCCTTTCTGTCACCGATTCCTCGGCGGGCCATCCGAATAAAGCTAATTGTATTCCAGTTATTCTGTGCGAAGAAACTTGTTTACCAGCATAAAAATCCCGCTAGCGTCTCCGCACTCAAACCAGTATCCTACGCGCTCTTATATTCTTCACATTTCACGTAAAATTCCAATCTGCAAGGAAAATTGTTCTGCAAGACCAAGCGAGATGCGCATGTCCTCCTACCACAGACCTCGAAGATACAGTAAGCTTATCCAATTTGGAATCTCTCTGCTCAGCTATGGGATTTATCCATTTGGGGAAGTTTTGTGCAGTACTGAATTATTGTCGAGGTACTGCACAAATGTTTCCCGAGTGGCTAACTCCGACGACAGAATGATGATGGATAAAGTCACCCATATTAGATAACAGTATTTTTTTGTAGGCACAGGTAAAATTCCGCATGTTGTCAGCATGTTTTTGTGTACTACGAGTACATGTACGAGTAAATGAGTACATGTACAAGTAAATTTGTGCACCATCGTTAATTTTATTGTCATTGAGGTATTATCTGTTTTTCTGTTAGATTATGATTTTTCTATTTTTACACATATTTCTAAAATGAAAAGGGATGTGATTACATAAAGCTGTTTGAACACAGACTGCAGGCTTTTTGTATATACAGCTTATTAATTTTCTTTTTCTTTATTATGTTATAATTACAGATAATGATGATAATTACTGTTATACATACGTGATGATTTTAAAAGATGCGGAGGTTTGGAAAGGCGTTGCCATGCATGTTCCATCATCCTCAATAACCCGGTTTGGAAAATAAATGTCAGATCCAAGCTACCAGGCGGTTTCTAAAGGTCAATATTTTAATCTCCCCGCTAACACGCTCATTTGGGTACAATACACGCTATAATTCTCGCGATCCACCGTACAGAGTACTATACATTCGTATATTACAGCCCGCTATATTACGTATTATATGTATATCACACAATGTTTACTGAAACTACTTTAATAGGCAATAGCCGTCAAAGTAACAAGAAGTGCAAGCGCAGGCACACTACGTTACTGTTAAAATTTTAAACATTGAAAAAACAACCAAAATCTCTATCCACCCGTGGGTTAAATGGTAGCGTACTTAACACAGCCGTAGCGTTTCCCTTAATAACAGCCAAACTGAAACGTTGTTTAAGAAAAGCAGTAGAACGCGCTTCTCCAGTCAGGTCACGAATTTTTCGGCCCATAAAGTGCAACAATTCGCTTAAAGCTGGACCGAAAACGCCAAACGTTTCAACCACTAAAGGATAGAAGGAGTATCGGTTTTCTAAACTTGCGTACTTCCGTCGCTTCGCGCTTTCTGCTAGGTGGGCCACACTGCCAGCCTTCTTCGAGCTCCCGTGGACATGAGAATCGGCCACAGTGCACCAACTTGTCGCATCCCACACTATTGGCATTCCTTGCTGGACAGGAATCAGCGTCATACCATCAGGTCTTGTCCCGTCGTTTGATAAGCCCACAGGTTCCAACTGACACGGAAAACCTGCACTTTCGCAGCAACTTTTAGCGATGCTGTTCATTTCTCTGTGTCGCGCCCAGCGTCCTGGGGCGTCCATGTTTACTTGGGTTAAAAACTTAAAAAATCAGATACTTATAATTATATACTATATGTATCTGTACGAGTTGTGGCGAACAGTATCATCATTTTAACACCTCGCTTTATCACATATTTATCACAATTACCGGATGATAAATACGCGATTTCTGTAGGTCATATAATTATACATAATCGGTTCTTAATGCTTTGCTGCTACGAATTCCACGGCATTCAATCAGGAGTTCAGTTTCTTTTCCACAGTAACAGCAGGTTCTTCAGCCGGCAGCCGCGTCCTTACGGGGAATCTGGAAAATGGAACCGCTCCGATTTAAAAATTATGCGGTCTTGATGCAGTCTTGAATGCATCAAGATCGAATAATATTCATAACGGAGCAGCTGAACGTCACATTCTCGCATGGGCTACGCCGCGGTCCGGAAGGTGCGGCACGCCGAAAAGTCGGCTAAGCATGGGGATACTGGTTTATACTTGAAAAAGAACATGAGCGTGCTCAGTTGGAAGCGGAATCAAGTGCCTGTTGATGTCGATAATATCTGAGTAGGTGAGCGGACATATTACATTATATCATCGCACTGAATCAGAAAAATAACGTAGTTCCGATCATCATCTATCGTAAAAATCGTAAACACTATCGATACTCAGAAATTAGAACATAAGGTTGGTGTTCAAGAAAATGACACTGGCAAGTGCGTGCTTTACAGTATTGGTAGATAGTAGATACTACCAAGCCAAAACTAGTTTACGTCGGTCTGCACACAGATGCAGACTTAACACTATGAAAAGAAGAAGACTAGTCTTCGCATAGGAATAGTGTTAACGTCTTGTTTTTGGTTTGTCTATGGAGATTTGTAACCAAAATGTTACACGCCTTTAATTCGCCCATTTTAGGGGAGTGGTTTAGTGTTTTCCGGAGGGCAAAGCCCTGCAGAGTGCAGTGAGTTATCCATACAT